CATGTATTACAGCAGATGTGGGGTGCCCACTGTTTGTCTTGATCACCTAGTTTACAACCGAAATAAAGCTGATATACCTTTGTTATTAGTGGAGTAATAGACCGTCTCTGAGACGCAAAAGTCACATCACCACACACGTAACAAAACTGATCTGGATTGTTTACACACTTTCGAGACATCTTGCATGAACGCTGTCAGCCAACTGAGGAAAAAATGGCTAATATAAAACAATATAATGTACACGTATGTATAACGTAACACAATCATGCCGATTACATCATCTTTTCTTGCCGAATATAAAAATGTAGCACGTGCATTCTTGTGAGTTACAGTATATTAACACTGTCACAGCAGGAACACATATAATTACCGTATCTCTAAAACTTGAACTAATATTGAAAAAATAAGTTTCATTCCGGTTTTAGCACATTAAAAATAGTCATATTTTGTTGATTTTATTTAGGATATTTTTTGGCTGTTGATCAGTGCTACCAATAAAGCTGTATTCTAAAAATTCCTACAAAATAAAGCTATGAGAGTAACATTTAATAAAAATAAGTACACCAAAATAAAATCTATGTTAAAACAATTGCAGTGGTTGAATATAAAAAATTTCATATTTGGTTCTTATTTTCCTATTTAAAATAAAAAATCATCATTTGCCGCAACATTTAGAACATTACATGGAATTAAGTAATCATTACAACAATTTTTATACATACATCCATTGACAAACTTGCAATACATAACAAATCAATATTTCAGAACAGATTACTTTAAATAATGATATAAAGTCTACTTGTAACTTAAAGATGTTAAGAGAGTTAAAGGAACATTTTTTGGACAGTGGAGATTCTTAGAGATGCAAGTTTTGTTTTTGATTTGACTATTTGTATGTTATGTAATTGTTATGTTTTTTTGAAAACATATAATTGTAGCAATCATGCTGAATAAATCTTAAACAAACAAACGTGCCAATTGCAAACCAATCACAAAATTAGTTCCAAATCAACCCTCAAGTTTTTGACGCGTGATTCTCAACATGTCAAAAAATTATATTTAAGAACTGTGCACAGTTCATCTAGCGGGGTGGGGGAAATTTCCGATATTACAATAACGACAACAGACAAGGCAAGAAACTGCCAAAAGTATTCATAATTAAATATCATCTGTCTCGTTGAATAAAAAAGTAAAATCACTCCTAAATGCGGATTGAAAAGATCATAAAGTACATTTGAAGTTTGATTTAAATTCATCCAAGTTGAGGAGGGTGCACCATAAGATCCAGTGAGTAAAATTAATTCTTAAGGAAATTAACCAAACATTCTTTCCAAGATTTGCATTCTGCATTCAACATTTTTTGGTGCAGGTTGAATCTTTTCGCAGCTATATGATTATCGAACTATGCTTCAGATCCGTTTGTTGACTGACTCAGTTTCGTTGATTTGATCAGTAATTTTCACTCTATATTCATAAATGTCGAAAATTTAAAGTGAAATTGCTTTTGCATGTCCAACCAACTGAATGGTTAATACAAATATGTTATGACAGCTAGTGGCACCTGTGTGCCATCAATTTTTTTTTATTAATCAACAATAAAGTAATGCAATAAATGATGATTACAAGCTCCCTTTTCATATCTAAGGATTCATACTTCTTTTTCCATAGCAGTTACTATTCGCAGTATTTAGGCCTTGCATACGAAACAACCATTTGTAATAATGATATTCCTGAGAAAGGCTTCCTTAGACCAAGAAATCACTGGTTGGGCAGGATTTTGATACTAGATACAAGGAGGACATTTGAAATGTTTCCAACATGGATTAACCCAGATATCCCTAGCGTACAATTTATGGTACACCGTAAACAAGTCGCGACTTGCAACGACCTGTGCTTATTTTGACGCGGTGATAGCACAGATCTACTCGTATTCAGTAAGCCTTAGTAAATCGTAACGTGCGGTTGGGTGTTATCGTTGTATTGAGATTTTTTTGCGATTTTGTGAAGAAGTTTTTATTTTTTGTGACATGGCTGAATATGGAATACGATTTGCCAAGTAAGTAAATATATGGTCTTTACGTAAATAAAAAAAATGTTTTGATTGCTTCTAACAATAAAACACACATGCTTTTTACCAGTTATAATGCCAAATTACATATGTTATTATTTTGGATTCACAATTGCGTCATTATATTTGAGTGTGCAAAATATTGTACGCCAGGAAAATACATGCCTGTTTCATTTTTAGGGGCTTTTCTCTGGAGGAAGCCCTTGCTATGCTGGAGGATAATGAAGATGTAGTAGCAAATGTGGATAATATCACATTGATATGCCTCCAATCAATACTTGTGACATTCTCACAGACGAGGACTCCGGCGATGAGAATGTAATGTCAGCTGATAATCTACCGGGTTCACAATTACAAGCACCTGCTGAGATAAACATACCTCATGAAAAATTTAGCGTATCTTCATCTGATTCCAAAGATAATATTCCATTGTCTGAATTGGCTAAAAAAATAAAAAATAAAAAGCTAAAGAAACGGAAAACGTACAAATGGGTGAAGGAGGATCTACCACAAGGAGTTCCAGGAAACTTCGAAGAAATTCTTGAACAAAATAAGACTCCACTTGAATGGTTTTCACTTTTGACGGCGAACTTATAACACGCATAACAACTGAAACAAATAGATATGCCAGGCAAAAGAATCGCCAACAAGAGGTGCAAAAGTATGAAATAAGGGAATTTTGACAGAAATTCATAACGTAGATGAGGCAATGGTTCCTTATTTTGGTTCCTTATTTTGCAAACAGTTCATTCACGGAAAGCCTATACGATACGGCTATAAATTATGGGTTGGCGCACCAAGACAAGGCTACGTTTACTGGGTTGAACCTTACCAAGGATCGTCAACCAACATTAGTAAGAATTATGCAGATTTGGGGGTTGGTGCTGGTGTGGTATTAGAGTATTCTGATGCACTTAGGAGAAAATGGCCAAATGAAAAATTTCATTTGGTTTTCGACAATTTTTTCACTTCTCTCCCTCTTATCGTAAAATTGACAGAAAAAAATTTATTTGCGACTGGTACTGCTAAAGAAAATCGTTTACAAGGCGTCCAATTCAAAGATTCTAAAATTATGAAACAGGAAAAAGAGGTAGTTACGATTACAACAAAATTTCCGATACAAACATAATGGCAGTAAAATGGCATGACAATAATTTAGTAACACTCTGTTCAAATGCCGCAGCATTGCAACCAATTCGCTTTTGCAAAGCGATACTCCCAAAAGGATAAATAAAGTATTAAGGTAAGGAACACAATCTGCAAGAAAATTAATGTTTTCAAAAATGCTTTCGATTTTAGGTAGAACAGCCTCGTCTTGTAAATGTATACAATGCAAATATGGGCGGCGTTGATCATTGTGATCAAAATTTTGGTCTGTATCGCATTTCCATCCGTGGTAAGAAGTGGTATTTTTCATTGGTCAGCCAGTGTATCGATATGGCTGTTCATAATTCCTGGCAACTTTATAGATCGCACGGAGGACATATGGATCAATTATTATTTAGACGGCGGCTTGCCACAGCCTTAACAAAACAAGAAGCCGCCATCTTTTTCTAGAGGACGTCCTTCGGCTGATGAATTCGTTACGATCGTTTAGATCATTTTGCGATACCACAAGAAAAGCCAACAAGTAGATGTGGCTTATGTCATGATAGAGAAAAAACAAGGTGATCTAAGTGTAATGTAGGGATGCATGTAAAATGTTTTTTGTCCTTCCATACTAAACCTTAATGTTCGCCTATGTACCTAGTGTACCATATTTTTTACGGGATTTTTTTACACTTTTTCATTAAATAAAATTTAAAAAATAATAAATTTGTTTAATATATGTTTTATATAGAATGAATTTGCAGAGAACATACTTTATTATAATTTATTTGAGCTGTAGGCATATCTAAGTTAATCGAAAAGCACTGATTAAAAGGAAAAACGCTGAGACACGTCAAAAGATTTGTCAAGGGAGACAACTTTTTAACCAAAAACAGCTTCACACTCGGCTTCTTTAGAAAAATTAATTTTCAGACACGTTCTTATTATAATGCTCACAAAGCTAATTTTGACAGTTTTTAACTAATCAACAATTTGTTTGTTTCCAAGGATGATGCGATATTTTAGGGAATTAAGCCAGTCCATATAAGACGTGCTAATAACCGAAAAAATAGCCGTAAAAACCCTTATGTGTCTACTATCAAAAAAAAGCTTATAAAAAATTGCATGCACAAATACACAGCGTAGTACATTTGAAATTTTTGAGAAAAACTGCAATTTGCGTTTTTGACCACCCTGTAAGAGCGAAAACTAAAACTCGAAAAAGTAACAAATAAGATAAAAGCTAAGGTGTGTAAGTTTTTTTATACAAAATTCAGCACTAGAAATTTCAAAATAGCGGACCGAGGGGTTCGGCAACCTAGGGGATATTTCTAGACAAAACTCCTTATATCTCAGTAGCTAATTACCAAAACCCCATAGTAGGTTACATCAATTTAACTCTTTTGAATTGGTTTATCCAAATGTGTAATAAATTTTGAGGCATTCCATTTGAAAAATCACAACTTTGATATATAGGTCGAAATTGGGACACCCTGTATAACAGCCAATATTTTAGAAATGTGCCCTCAAATGTCATGGAAATCATCCCATAAATAGATTTTCCCAAAATGTATTTGTTTATGAGTAATATCCGTCCACACATGGATGGGCCACCCTGTATATCCGACTTCATGCCAATTTACATCCAACTGCCTACACCTAAACAAAAAATACACGCAATACTGTTTTGCGCGTCGAACGAAACGTATACAGCTGTTTCACGCTTGTTGGCAATCATCAGCATTATTTAGGTATGACAAAACATACATTGCATGAAAAACTATACATTAAACGATCACAGAGAAAGCTAGAGCGGGCATCAATTCATTGGGCGACATCTTACCTTCTTGCCAGTCGATGGCGTAGTTAAAATAGGCCCCAATGGAGCAAGCATCCACAGCGGCAATAAGCAACAGATGCAGACCGATGCACAGATCGGCTGCAGCAAGGTTGCACATGAGGAATTTGGACACAGTTAGCCTGAACCTGGACGTAGCGATCACCAGAACGACGAACAGGTTGCCTGCGCAGGCACTTGAAGCAACTATCCATACTGGGATACGGAGCGCCCAGTTACCCATAAGATCTTCGCAGGGGTTAAAAGCATCTGGTGCTGGGTGACATTTCACCTGAAATACAGAAAATGCTATTTGTCCTACTATCTTGATAAATATTATATTATCTATCCTAGTGACCCGTTTCGCTGTTCGACAAATTGAAGTGAAAGTAGTTATTTATGTATCTAGGGCTTAAAGAGAGCGATTAAGGCATGCTGTGGGACGGCTGTAAATTGATCCCCCTCTAAGTTTTTATGGCCTTTCAGAAGAAAACGTTGTATATAAAAGTTAAAGGGTCTAATATGAAGTTTTTCATTGAATATCTCTGAAAAGTATTTTCGAATAAAGTTGAATTTTTTTAAACAGAACTCCCTATATACACATTTTCAGCTTGTGCGATTTACTCTGTGTATCCTAGTACGAACCAGTTTGCATCTACTCGTAGCCTCCTATGCAATCTGGTATAGGGCTGGAATACATTATGATTAAATGGCTCATAAACTCCAAGCTTTTGGCAAAGGTAATAGTAGAAAGTTTAATGAACCATATATATATATATATATATATATATATACAGGGTGACTAGTAGTATCACGTATTCCTGTTAAGGGGTGATAGATTAGATCAAAAACAACCGATTTTGTCCTATAACATCCTATCCAGAAGTTAACCCTTTTTGGAGTTATTTGAATTTTATTTTTTTTATTTTTTACTTCGATTTCAGACGGTTAAATTTGAAATACAAAAAAACTACATGTTTGATTTTGAGTTTTTTATTATCGTCGCATAGCGGACATTCCAATACTTCATGATAAGTAATAGAATGTTGAAAACTTACATAAGTTATAAAATTACGCTTTTGAAATGTATGATTTTCTTATTTTTTTTACTACCTTATTCGATAAAAAATGCAATTTTCTGTAAAAAATCTCCTAGTAATGAAATTGTGCAAATTATGTAAATAATATCTCTATCTAACAAGATTTCATTTGAGGTATAAAAGTTACAACAAATTCAACTACAAAGACATAAAATTAAAAAAGATGAGTAAAGTTGTACGAACGATAATTACTTAGGATAAATAAAAGGCTTTTATTTTAATTACAGTTTTATTTAATTACATTTCCTTTAGTATTTTACAGATTCTGCTAAAATTCTAATCCCCTGTTACGAATACACGCCCGCATTCTCGTACCTAATTCACTTTTGGTAACTCTAGTTGTTAAGCGGCTTTTTATTTGGTCAGCTGCACTGATTATCCTTGTAATTAATTCATGGCGCGTTGGTACGGGCGAAACATCGTACACCAGGCTTTTCATATATCCCCACACATAGTAATCCATCGGTGTGAGATCTGGGCTTCTTGCTGGCCAGGCAATGGGCCCGCCTCTGCCAATCCATTGATTTGGAAATTTGAGTAGTGTCTAGAGTCTAAGAGTCTAAATACGCCAGTACTAATCTACTGTAGTGTGCGGGACAGACGTCGTGCTGGAACCGCATATTTTGTCTCGTCGCCAATGAGAAGTCTTCCATTAATTGAAACAAGTGATTTTTGAAGAACTCTTCATACATTTCTCCATTTAAATTGGCGGGCAGAAAATGAGGTCCAATTAAATATCCATCAATGATGCCCATCCACACATTGACTGAAAACCGGCTCTGAGACCCCGTCGGTCTTATTTTTCGAGGTTTTAAAGCTTCTTTATCAGCCCAGTAATGCGCATTATGGTAGTTAGTGATCCCGTCCTTATCAAACTTCGATTCATTGGTCCACAGAATTTTCTTAAAATAGTCTGGATCTTCTGTATCTGCATGTAACATGTACCTGCAGATATCTAATCGTGTAGCAGGATCGCCCTCTTCAATCACATGCACAGGCGTGTAGTGATAAGGGTATCATCTTGCAGTATGCACAGTAAACCATACTTTTTATTGTGATATACCCAACTGAGCAGCCACAATGCGCGTAGACGTAGTAGGGTCTTCCTGAAACACACGAAGGATTTCCTCTTCATCTTCAGGAGGATAGACTCGGGGTCGACAAACATCACTATGTTGCCTTTGAACACGTCCGGTTTGGCGGATGCGCCGATACACAGAGTCAAACACAGTAACATGAGGTGTTTGGCGATTCGGGAAACGTTGCCGATATTCACGGCGGGCAGCTGCAGAATCGCCGTTACAAAGTGCATAACAGAACATTATGTCTACGTATTCTTCATTTGTAAAAGTTTGCCCGTGCTCGCTATGGCGAGGTCCTGGCGGATCTTCTGCGTCTGCCATGATGATAAAGAAACCACTCGAAATGAACTGGGAAACTCGAAAATAATAATCGTGCGTAAAACGTGTGCGCGTACGCAGTAGTTGATACCAACTAAGCCTAATCCTCACTCGGCGTGCGGCGATGGCGTAACTATAATGATGAATAATAACAGCTCTCTCTCTCTCTCACTCCTCCACTAAGTCAGCTCTTCTCGCTCGCTTCCTCGTCGAGCCGATGCGATAAAACAATCATGGCATGCGAGTCCTTTGAGGACAGTACCGACTTATTCAAACAGGTAATACAAATTTCTTAAAAATCCAGCTTCTGAGGGTGTCATTGTTGTTTCTCTGCATGTACTTCAGATAATTGAACGCTTAATACCTCAAATGAAAACTTGTTAGATAGAGATATGATTTACATAATTTGCACATTTCATTACTAGGAGATTTTTTACAGAAAATTGCATTTTTTATCGAATAAGTTAGTAAAAAAATAAGAAAATGATACATTTAAAAAGCGTAATTTTAAAACGTTTGTAGCTTTTCAACATTTTATTACTTATTATGAACTATTGGAATGTTTGCTATGCGACGATAACAAAAAATTCAAAGCATGTAGTCTTTTTGTATTTCAGTTTTAACCGTCTGAAATCGGAATAAAAAATAATAAACTTAAAATTCAAGTAACTCAAAAATGGTTAACTTTTGGATAAGACATGATAGGACAAAATCGGTTGCTTTTGACCTAATCTATCACCCCTTAACAGGAATACGTGACATTACAAGTCACCCTGTATTGTATATATATTCAGAATCAGAATAAAGGAGACATCATTTACAATACAATACAATAAATACAAGGTGCTCCATTTAAAGATCAAATACATTCGACAGCAGTTTTCTGAGACACCCGATATACAAAAAAAAATATTACATTAAACAGTACATATTAGACCCTGTAACCCATATAACTTTTTCCTTCAGATGGTCACATAAAAACATATTATACATATCGGGTGTCCTGAAATTGAATGATAATCCTGCAACTGTAGATAGGTCACGTCATTGTCTACTAGGAGGCAAAATTTTGTCTTACAGTTTTCGAGATTTTCAGCATTCAGTTTAAAAAAAATAGCTTTTATTCAGTTATATTCGTGCCATTTCTACAAGTATCAACTTCTTTGCACCAGGTTTGTTTTAAAACGCTCAGAATGGAGCATTTGATCTTGTCGTGTTATTTTTCCTTGAAGTGGCGAAAAAAATACATAAAATTCATGCCAAAGTCAAAACTTTTATTAAAACCCCTTTTCGCGTCTGACTTTGAGACACCGTAGGGTGAAAGGAGCAAGTACGATCACTGAATCAATTTGTGGAAAAATCCAGGAAACTTAGTAAAACAAAAATTTACCTTCTAGTGGGCTACGACGTGACCTATCCATAGTTGCAGGAATATACTTCAATTTCGAAACACACTGTATACGAACATTTTTGTATGGCCGGCTAAAATCAGAATTTTATCTGTTGTGCGTAAACTAAAGGGTATCTCAATAAGAGCGCCGTATTTGATTTTCAAGAAAAACACATTTTCTTTTCGAATTAAGCGAGTATTTATATTTCAACATGAAGAGGAATAGTTGCGATTGAACATGAAATAGGACATCCGGTAAATGGCCACCACGAAACCTCTGGCACAGGGTCAGTCTTTTCTTAAAATTCTGGATAACGTTTTCGCACAACTGTGGCTATATTTCATCGATGACGCGTAGTATTTCTTCTTTAAGGCATTTAACTGTTTGTGGCTTGTCCCCAAACCCCTTATCCTTCACATAGCCCCAGAGGAAGAAGTCCATTGGCGCTAGATCGCATGATCTTGGTGGCTAATTTTGATCGCCAAACCGAGAGATGAGATGCGGTCTGGAAACTTGGCCCGCAGTAACACCATTGATTCGCGTGCTGTGTATCAGGTCGCACCGTCTTGTTGGAAGAAGATATCCTCCACGTCAATTCGATCCAACTGGGGCGACAAAAGCTCGGTTAACATTTTTCGGTACCGCACACCATTACCAGTTACCGCAGTTCCAGCTGCATTTTCGAAGAAATACGGTCCTACCACTCCGTGTACCAAACGGTAACTCGCGGCGGATGCATTGGTTGTTCGATTATGACACGAGGGTTTTTAGAGCCCCAAATTCGGCAGTTGTGCTTAGTGTCGCACCCCTTCGGTTGAACATGTGTTTCATCATAGAAAATCATTTTCTTCGAGAAATCCGCAGCAATTTGGGGATGCTCCAGCGCCCAATCAACGAATTCGCGGTGTATATATCTTTTGTGAAGAATAGTTGCAGAGTGGGTCTAGTAAGGTTCAATTCTTGGCCACGATGCCGAGTGGAAGTGCCTGGATTCTCGGCCACACTTTTTGGCACTGCAACTATATTTTCGAGGGACCGACCAGGACGGCGACGAGGAGTGGGCTTCACATTCAGCAACGTGAATTTTGTCTCAAATTCTGTAGGTAGCACTATACTTTAGCGCATATCGCAAATACTTAATTTCTTACTTTAAAATGAAAGATTAGGATGTAACTTGCCCGAAAATATAATTTATTCTTTAAGGAACCCTCTGATTGCTATTTCATAGGACTTCAAAGTTGCATTTTTCGTGGTAATACTCTAGAATGGAATACTGTCTTATACGCTTTTTTGCTTTTTGCACAAGTTGATGCTGTAGATTATAAGAATATAACATACACTGTATAGTGCCAAGGAAAATAGATGTGAAACTGTGAAAAATCGTTGTTTTTTTGCAAAAAAAGGTTCAATATCAGCCGTGTTATG